AATACAAAAACCATTATAAGTCCCCTCAAAGTCAATCTAATATATTACTGCATTTATTGTAGGCATATGGAAACCGCCTGTCTTTCAGGGCGTAGGATTTGTAATTCCTGAGGGCATATTAAGCGAGAGTGTTAATGGCAATCCTGCAAGGATGTACAGTATAGTGTCAATGACACTGGGTATTAACTATGATAATATCAGCATTAGAATATCGTGCCACACATGAGATTCGCATGCTTACTGCTGAACATGTGACACTGTTTATCTGATAGTAAAAGTGCAAATTGAGATGTTTGTCATTTTGTCACTTGTTTGGAATAATCTCATTGTACATAAAAACGCTCCAAATCCCCCCCTTAGAAGTCTGTGGGGAAATGTTTAATATGCCAGCAAGCTAAGACAAACATCAAAATCAAAATGTGACTGCAAAGCAAGTTGTTCAATAATGCAACGTTTCTTGTTACGTTTCATCCTCATAGATGTATTATCCTCCTCAATTTGACTTGTGTGGAGCAGTGTTAACATATTTCCTTCTCATATTCATACCATGAGACTATCAAACAGAAATCCGTTTTTTTTTTTTTTTTTTTGGGAGGTGTTATCTAACTTCTTGAGTGGTAGACACTCGGTTATTTTCATCATAGACTGCCAAGCTTGCTTCCCTGGTGTGTGGGAACGTCCAAGCAAACACGTTTGGTTAGTTGGAGTGGAATGCGTTGCTTGTAATTCACAATACTGAAAAAAACAAACAAAAAAAAAACACCTCTTCTCATCTGACATTGTAATATAAGTGCTCTGAAATACTCTGCGTTATGCTACAGTCTCTTTGCTATGCATGCGCACCCTGATTGAGACATATGTTTCCCGAGCACTTCTCCAACAAACTCATTAGAACAAACGAATTTGGCAAATCACAGTGGTGTCAGACATAATGCCAGTGGCTGCTGGTGCAGGAGCAGAAAAGTAAGGGTGGGTGTGTTTTTATGTTGCTGGCAGGATTTTAGATGTAAACAGCTACTGCTTTCAGTGGCTATGAATACATGTTGAGCATGCCTAGATGGAATTAATCCACACAGTGTTGCACTAACAAAGGGAGCAAGTATGTTAGAAGCAAATTTTTTTTCTTCTTCAATCCGTTTATGTAATGAAGCATTCTGTGCTGATAAAATGTATACAGATAAAATGTTTTTATGAAGAAGGCATGTGGCCAAAGCTATAATTACACCATGAGTGGTAGATCAACACCCTCATTGCTGAATTTAGTATTTTCTTAAAAGCATTCCAACGGAAATGCAAACAAAGGTGGTTTATTGAGGGCTGAAATTCTCTATCAGTGTGTTTGCCGGGTTATTACGGCCCCCTCGACGTTTCTTGGAAAAGCAGTGTGATCTCACTGTGATTGGCTGGTACTCCTCAGGTCAACGCGTAGGAGTGAGTCACCATAATTGAACATTTTTCACTCTTCTACTCAGAGGGTTAGGGTTAGCCTATGCAATATTTTCAGGCAAACAACCTCCATGCGTTTGCTATAATAAAGCACTTAAAGTCTCTCACTAGAGAAAACAAGTTGTGTGGAATAAAACTGAAAGTGGACGCTGGCCATGTTACAAATGAAGTGCAGGTGAGTCTTAATTGTAACAGTGTGAGTTACAGTTGTAATCAACCATGTTTCAGTCAAACAGCTGTTTTTATATTGATTTCATACCAAACGTGATCAGAGAATGTAGAAAACAGTTAGATATTAAAACCTATTTTTGTACAAGTTGGCGCATTTGTGTCCTTCCTTGTTGACAAGTACACTACTTACACCTACCTAGCTTGCAAGTTTGATTGTTGTAAATAACTTCTGTTGTAAAGAAGTTGTAAAAATACTATACAACCCAAATCTAAACTGAACACACAGTGCACGCTTTTTGGAGGAGGCCTGTGAGTAACGTCGCACTGACCCCTGGAGATTCAAAATGTAGCACCACATCATTCAATAAGCTTAATAAGGTTTAATTGACAAAAACAGACATAAAGTTAGACATAAAGTTATATGAATACAACAGCATGGATTTTAGCACCACAACATACAAACACAAATTGATATTCAAAAAATACTACGTGCTAAGACTTGTTTTCCAGGTGCCATTACCCGCAGAGTGGATGAGTACTGTTGATATTTGGCAGTGATGTTTACTACTGTACTGGCCACATGTCGACATGATGACATCATGATGACATTTACGTGGCAGGAGAAAAAGTGTGTTATAACTGTAACGTGTTACATGTAAGGCAACTCTTAAACAGAGGTCAGAAGCGGTTAGGGCAAAGAGGTCGTGATTAGGGTTAGTGTTAGCCTATCACAGCATAGTAGGGCGGGACTCGTCAAGAGAGGTACTTGGATCCATAATAAAACTTTTCTTCTCTTACACCCCTTTTCTACCAAAATTAGCACATATATGCAGCTTTTTAAAATGTGGGATAAGCAACCAGCAGAGTTAGTAAAAACACTACAGCGATAACTTATCTGTTATTCATTCAGTCTCTCTTTCGAACTCAGTGTGGACTCATTTAGAATGATTTTAGAGCGCTGCTCGGACAGACAGGGACAGAATTTGTGGCGGTGCGTCATGCATCGGGCTGCAAAAGGGGCAAAAAAATAGCATGTCCATCTGGGTGTCATGTTTCTATCAAGCCGGTCGGTGCTGGAGCCGATAAATACTCATGACTACTGCAGTCATTTGTCCTGGAAATAACGCATATTGTAACCTTTGCCACTACAAACAAAAGCCAGATGTGAGTGTGTGTTATTGGTTTGGACAGACACGGACAGAATTTGTGGCGTGCATCATGCATCAGGCCCAAAAAGGGGCAAAAATGAGCATGTCCATCCAGGTGTTGTGTTTCTATCCGAGCCGGTCGGTGCTGGAGCCGATAAATACTCATGACTACTGCAGCCATTTGTCCTGGAAATAACGCATATTGTGGCCTTTCCCACTAAAAACAAAAGCCAGATGTTGGTGTTTGTTACTGGATTTCTTTGTGCAGTGGTAAAGAGGCTTTAGGTGGTAGTGAAGGGTTGCTGTTATTCCTGCCAGACTAAAAGAGCTTCTGCCAGTAGGAAGCATCATTCCATCAGATTCCCCCAGCAGAGGCTCGAACCTCCGCAGCCTCCCTCCACTACGACTAGCGTGGCAGCCTCGCTGGTGTGAAAGCAAGCCACTTGTAGGCTCATTTCTACTGATTAAGCCAGCCACTCATCCCCACTGGAGAACATTTCCACCTCAGTTAGCAATTTTTACAGTTTAGAAAACACCTGTCATGATATACTCATTTCTTCTTGCTTGTGGGTTGATGGGAAGAGATGATTAACAGAACTTGACATGGAAGAGTTGGAAAGAGACAAGGAGAATACGTAAATGTAAGGACCCAGTAGGCGAGGTTAATGTTTCTTGCACTGAGCAAGAGGGCTTTGCTCCTGACTAAGGCATTAACTGCACTGAAGAATGGCGTGTGTACCACTTAATGGCAAAGCTTGACACAATGTTGTCACATTTTATAATTTCACAGCAAATGTGATATGTTTGGGATGCAGTATGTATTGATTTATTTGTAGGTTACCATCTTTGTGGGCAGAAGATAATAAGGGGTGATAGCAGCACATCAACACTCTGCTGTGTGGAAGTGGGAGGCACAGGCTGTACTGTATGTGTATGAATGTCTTGGTCTATTTTTATCTTGAGCACACTCACTCAGGCATATTCTTAGACACTTTGGCTGAATGGGCTAATCTAATCTAATTTAATCTAATCTAAGATAACAGAGTAACGAGTTTCTTGTTAGTCACTTGATTTGAGAGATACGTTCTGCTTTAGTTACACAAGGGGAATATCAGGCCTCTTCACACTCTAGAATCGCCCCATTTGTGAGGGAGTTGTGTGTGACAATAAATTGGATCATAATGAAAAGTAAACAGCACTGCAATACGGCTTTGAGTAAAAAAAAGCATTAATCATGAATCAATGAAAAATGCTGTTTTTGAAACCCTGGGAAATGCATCACAGATAAATTATTTCAAAGGCAATAAAAAGGCTATAGAATATTTTAGTAAAAAAGTCCAGATGTGAGGAATAGCACTCGTTGTTTTGTCACTGGATAACATTTATCAAGAACTTTGTGAATATACTGCTGTGTTTTACGTCAAGATATAAGCCACAGCACAATTCCAGGCAAGAATAGCTTGTCGTCCTCTTTGTTTACCAGTGTTCATTGTTTTTTAGTATGATTATAAGCAAATTTCTCATGGGCACTAAGTATTTGTGTCACTGTGGGACCACATTTATTAAGTGTAATTGTAATGTTAAAATTTTCATGACAGGGGCTTTGTGTATTAAATAATTCCAGGCTTAGGATTCAAATGAGTAAGGGGCTTACAAGAAATTGATCAGATGCTAAGTTCTCGTTTTTCATTTTCAGTCTTTCAGTGCAGATGCATCAGCTTCTGTGAAGTCTGGAAATCTGGGACAATCCAGGGTTAGAGAGCCAACAAAAAGCTTGTTATATTCCGTATATGGGCAGTATATGACGGTTAATTGAAGCTGTTAATTCATCTTGCTCTAGTTCTTTCAACATTCTATGCACATTGTACTGCATAAGTAGATTATGGCTGCAAGTTATGATTATTTGCATTATCAATTAATCTGTTAAGATTTTTTATTTTGATAAATTGTTTGGACTACTAAAAAAATAGTGGGAAACACCCATTATAATTTCCCAGAGCTCCAAGTTGCATCTTCAAATTGTTTCATCTGACTAACAGTCTAAATCCCAATGATATTTGGGATGTTATTTGTTGTCAGTTAATTTTCTGTCAACCAACTAATCAGTTCAGCACTAAAAGAGATCGTGTATTGAGCCACTGATGCAATAACTCACTACAGCAACATCAACAGTGTATTCCTGGCTACTTTATGTGGTCACTAAATATTTTTCTCTCTTTTTTCTTCTTGTTGCAGAGAACACAAACAGCAGATGAACTATGAATGCTGAACAAAATGATCTCCTCCCTCCAGCGCCAGACAATGAGAGGTCGTAGGCTGAAGGGGGCGCTGTCCAACCCCCTCTTTGTGCTGCTTTTGGCCCTCCAGATCCTGGTGGTGGCTGGGCTGGTTCGTGCTCAGACCTGTCCTTCTGTCTGCTCATGCAGCAACCAGTTCAGCAAAGTCATATGCACCCGCCGCAGTCTACGGGACGTCCCCGATGGCATTTCCACCAACACTCGCTACCTGAACCTCCAGGACAACCTCATCCAGGTCATCAAGGTGGACAGTTTCAAACATCTGCGCCATCTGGAGATCCTGCAGCTGAGCAAAAATCACATCCGCAGCATTGAAATTGGCGCCTTCAATGGACTGGCCAGTCTCAACACTTTGGAGCTCTTTGATAATCGGCTCACGACAATCCCCAATGGAGCATTCGAGTACTTGTCCAAGCTGAAGGAATTGTGGCTACGGAACAACCCCATCGAAAGTATACCATCTTATGCCTTCAACCGGGTCCCCTCGCTTCGAAGGCTGGATCTAGGTGAGCTCAAACGTCTGTCCTACATTTCTGACGGCGCCTTCAAGGACTTGAGCAACCTGCGCTACCTGAACCTGGGAATGTGCAACCTCAAGGAGATCCCCAACATCTTACCTTTGGTGAGGCTTGAAGAGCTAGAAATGTCAGGAAACCAGCTCTCTGTTGTCAAGCCCAGCTCATTTTTAGGATTGGTGAACCTCCAGAAGCTGTGGATGATGCATGCCCAGATCCAAACCATTGAGAGGAATTCCTTTGATGACCTTCAGTCTCTTGTGGAGCTCAACCTGGCTCACAACAACCTTACCTTTCTACCACATGACCTCTTCACACCGTTACATCGCCTGGAGCGGGTCCACCTCCATCACAACCCTTGGAACTGCAACTGTGATATCTTGTGGCTCAGCTGGTGGCTGAAGGAGACAGTACCCGCCAATACTAGCTGCTGCGCTCGCTGCCATTCTCCTGCAGTCTTTAAAGGTCGCTACATTGGAGAATTGGATCACAGCTACTTCCAGTGTGATGTCCCTGTCATTGTGGAGCCACCCAGTGACTTGAATGTGACGGAAGGCATGGGTGCAGAGCTTAAATGTCGTACAAGCTCGCTGACATCCATCAGCTGGCTTACACCAAACGGCTCGTTGGTGACACATGGGGCTTATAAGGTGCGTTTGTCTGTACTCAATGATGGGACACTGAACTTTACTAGCGTCACAATGCAGGACACTGGAACTTACACCTGTATGGTGAGTAACACAGCAGGCAACATTTCTGCCTCTGCTGTGCTTAACGTCACTTCTGTGGAAAACAGCGGGGTGACCTATTTTACCACAGTCACTGTGGAGACCATTGAGACCCCGGGGGATGACAGCCAAACGCCACTTCCCCCATTTGGCTGGGTGTCATCCTCTACAACAAAAGGTACTCCTGTTTCAACAAGGACCACAGAGCGGACTTACACAATTCCAGTTCTTGATCTGGATGGAGAGGGAGCCCTCAATGGCCTGGATGAGGTGATGAAAACCACCAAGATTATCATTGGCTGCTTCGTGGCCATCACGCTCATGGCTGCTGTTCTGCTGGTTATTTTCTACAAGATGAGGAAGCAGCATAACCAGCAGGACCCCGATGGCCCTGCCTCCTCCATGGAGGTCATCACAGTTGAAGAAGAGCTCGCAGGCGTCGCTGCCATGGAGAGACATCTCTCGCTGCCCCCTCTGGAGCACTACAACCACTACAACACCTACAAGAGCACTTACCACCACGCTCCCATGCTCAGTACCATACACAGCTCAGCCACACAGGAACCTTTACTGATTCAAGCCTGCTCAAAAGACAATGTACAAGAGACCCAAATCTGATCTTGAATTTGACTAAATATCCAGTATCAGCAGTTTCATACTTGGAGTACAATGGACCAAAAGGTGTCGATAAAAGAAGTCAAAATGACATTGACTTGAGTTGATGTCGATAACGGCGATAAATCAGCATTTGGCAAAGGGACGACATATGATACTTTAACAAGTGTCTTTACAAAAACAAAGATTATTTATTAAAAGTATGTCTAGTGGCTAAATGAAGAAAAACAATTTGTGATAGCTTTTTAGCTCATTTTATTTCTCTCTCTCTCTCTCTCTCTCTCTCTCTCTGTGTAATACTGCACAAGGGAAAGAATGGTTTACTAAGAGTGAATACGGAAATGCAGCTCATGTGAAAACACTGTAGGAATTGGCCTTAAACTAAAATTAATGCAATGCCATTAAGTTAATACTTTATATTTACCTGACAATAACATGTTTTGTTGAAGGGCACTGCTTTAGTATATATAAACATTTATAGGCATGTTCAGCATACCATGTCTGATTCGCCGGGGGTTTATAAGTGACAAAACGTAAAATGGGTTTGTTTTCATTGCCATCATATTCTAGCTGTCACTCAACACAAAATGAGATCTTTTAATGACACAGCTCTGGATGATATCACAGTGAAACCAGCATGCCTGAGGAGCAAAGCAGCCAAATGAGTAACTGTGCATTTCCCCTGTGGCTCCTAAACAACAGCCATACATCCTTCACTTTAATTAAGATTAACTTCCTGCTCCCACTCCTCCTCATCCTACCTTTTCCTTACACTTCAACCTTTACTACTCCTCCTACTCCTCCTCTCTCCGTCTATCTCCGAGTTCTCCATCTTCTCTGTCTACCCTCTCTCTCCTCCCTCCCCGCTCTCCTGTCCTCCACGTCCTCTTGCTTCTTTTAGATTGTCTCTCCGTCACTTAGCTCAGGCACGTTCCTCACCCCTCGCCATGTCTCATTTGTCTCGCTTTATCCGCCAGCATGTGCCGCGCAACGGCAGAATATTGCTTGGGAAAATGAAGGGGAGCATAAGGCTGCGGTCTGTAGCCTCCCTGTTAACCTAGTAATGATCTACGTCCACTCACTGTCGCGTTACCTTGCCATCACCCCAGGGTCACACGAGCTCGGGCGCGGATAGTCCATCTGTTACACAGATAAAGAGGCAAATGAGGCTGCTTTGTAATATAGTGTGACCCTGTCAGACAAACGCAGACGGGGCTAACATAGTCAGTGAAGCAGCTAGGAACCTGCAACAAAATAAGAGGAGATGGGTTATAGCTCATTAATCTGTATCAGCAGTTCATTTGCAGACAAACAGAGGAAAGCTGATAACAAAACAGCAAGAGACTTTTCCACTCTCCCTGTGCCCAACATCTAACAGGGGGTAGAGGCCTTTGATATTGAAGCGACCCCTGCTCGGTCTCATTTTTGTCAGAGAAAAACACACACACTTTGATGTTGCATCATTTATAGACCATCAAAACATTGTCTCTCTTGTAGTCTGTTTACACTTTGCTTTTTCATTTAGTCTTTCAAAGAGGAAGGCTTAAGGAACAGGGAGGTAGGGATGAAAAGTGAAGAACAGTGGGTGGGGTGGGAGGGGGAGCCAGACCCACGACGGTCATGAGGGGTCTTCAAACAGATATATTGCAGATATGAAGGGGAGAGGAGTGAAAAAAAAGATAAGGAATAAGGAGGCAAAACTAGCCATCAGACTGTCGCCATGGAAACAGTGACCTTGTGCAGAAAGTAAGAAGAGGTAGATATGCCTTGCAGCCTTTCGCTTTGGTCTCTGTGCAACAAGCATATTCTAATTTCCCACCGGCGATTCCACAAATGCGGCAGATTATCAGCAGAAGTGGCAGAAATGAAATGTGCATTTACAAATGCTTTTGACGGGATTCGAGCGGCACATGACGTCACCTTTGCACAGCATCGCGCCGTTTTCAGTTATTTAAATAAAATGAGTCATCGCATGATGTGAACATGTTAACATAAATGTCCAGCAGCTCTGCTCGCCTTATTGATTTTCATCTCATTGAAGACAGCTACCACAGCATATAAGCATAATAAAGCACCATCACTCACATGAAATGTCCCGATCAGCCAACCTCCTACAGTTTTCTTTCTCTTTATACAATAAGGGTTCAATGGTGGGAAGAAGGTGGAAGCGAAACACACATTTAAAGATGGGTCATGTCAGATGAAACTTTTCGTGCAGCAGAAACCTATTCATTTTCAGTCTTTCACAGAGTGTTTTGAATGACGAGAATAGTACAGTCAACAGTAACGTCATACAGTGAACCATTCTTTCCCTTTCCACTGTTTTCTTTTTCACTGCTCAATTACTTTTCAATGCTTTTGGTGGCTTAATGATTCAATGTTGACGCTGGCTACAGTGAAAAAAAAAAGGTTGAGATTTTTATATATATATAAATATATATATATATATTGGGGGACGAAGGTTGTGAGTTATTCGGAATGAATGGAATATCTCTGTATTGGTATTTGCTCGAGCAGGATGGCTCTATGTGGAGAGATATTTGAATGCCAGAATGAAATTAAGACTGACCTGCAGAATGTTGGACTTGAAATACCAGCAGAGTGAGCTTGATTTTTGTGCTAAACCCCAAGCCAAGGTGATCCAATTCTTGTGTGTTATTCTGCCAACTGTCTATGTACGGGGGAGGGTTACTGTATGTGGGAATATTCTCTCTCATTTTCGGAGAGAATAATCATCAAATGGGTAAATTTCTACAAAAAGAAAAAAAAATATTTTCAAAAACATAATGCAAAAAAAAAAAAATCTTCAGATCATAATTTTACATGTGCTTCAATTGTTAAAAAAAAGACAAAAAAGCAAAACAAAAACAAGAAAAAAAAAGAAAAAAAACAAGAGACTGTGCTTGTCAGGAGTCCAACTAATTTCTCTGAGGATGATGTTCAATTATTGATACCTGAGATTGTAGTTCATACTGTACATGAATACAAATAAAAATTGCAATTCTTTTTTTTCCCAATAGATGTCATAGGATGTATTATTCACAGAGACGCTGTCACCATTTTGCCGCCTTTGTCCCATTTGCACATGAACACTTGTATAGAAACATTCAAACAAAAAGGATCACTAAGCAGCTCCCAGAATGCTGAAGTGAGAAGAATGTGCTGTGAAGAAATGTACTGTAGCTTATTTTATGAAGTCAGAAGAGGGAAGTGGATCTCTCTAAGAGGAAAAGGAAGTGATCTTTCTGTATTATACATGGGGAGTTGGATTCTTTTATCTAATTTGAATCACTCCATCTGTCTGACAAAATCATTTGATTCGTGCGGGCAAATCTGAGAATTTCATAACCAATAGCACAATAGGCTATTCCTGCTCTCTCCACTGACTCAATATGACGAACAAAGAACCTCACAGAACATTGGAGAACATTGTCAGAGCCAGAAAAATACAAGCCTACGCTACTTTCACTGGCATTTGAAAATTCATTTAATATTCAATCAATTAAACTGAACCTCTGTAGGAAACAATCACGATTTGTGTCGAAAAATATTACAACAGTCCAGTGAGGAGACTGCTTTTCATTATGACATCTCCACTACCCAAATAGCACAAAATGGCTCACAGTCACAATTGCCTTTGGGATTGCTCCATTTCATTCACAAAGCACTTGATGGCTGCCCAGTAAAATGTTGTGAGGCAATTGGTGCAGGCTTCATTCAGACACTTGTGTTTTTTATGTGTGGTCAGTCACAAAAGCTAGAATATCTATTCCAACAAAGGGATAATTAATTCATTTGCTAACTGATTACAATTTATTCAGGAGATGACACACTCTCAATGAAACAATGCTGCATCCGATGCAGAAACAGAACAGTAATCTCATACATTTCTTGACAGTTATAGAATCCATACCGTGTGTGGGAGATGGATGTATTTTCGCAAGCAGTGAATCAGATTTATTTTCTGTTCTCTGGTTAGAATTGGAAGTGAGCATTATCTCACACGCCTTTATTTTTCAGAACTTATTTCAGTGTTAGTACGTCACACTCGGAGCCAGCTCTGCATCCAGAAAAGGCAAGTCCCAGTACTTGTGATCATAATCTGACAAGGAGAGAAGAAAGGAAGCAAAAAAAAAAACGAGCCCAGGCTGCTCCTCTTTGGCTGTGAGGCTGAGTGTGATGCATTTACATGATGGTGTGAAACAATGGTCATCCAAAACTTGAGAATCAGCTGCACAGCTGAACTGTATACACAAAATAACAAAAACTGGAAAACAAACAGGATGATCATTTGCTTAAAGGAGTACTTCACCCACAAATCAATTAGGCAGACCGTGTTCCCTTAAAGTTGTTTTGCATGCCTCTGAGGAAAACAGTACTGATTTATTGATCAACTGGGGACCACATGTAACAGCATCAAAATTATATGAAACCTCCATTTGCAAACTCTCACACAACTCCTGCAGTATAATCCAAGTCCCATTCATCCAGCTGCACAGTTCTTTCCAAACATGCATTTTCACTTCAACCTTACTAAACTACAATACATGTATTCGTATTAAACCGTTCAGTGCAAGGCTTTTGATTCTGTACACATTACAAACTGAACGACATGTTGAACTGTTTGTAACATTTGTCAAATAAAATATACAGCTTAAACTGTGTATGATAAAATCTTCTCAGTGCCGCTGCGCTCAATGAGGCGGCCCACACCATGTAACAGGCAATGTGCCCCTCCTGCCCCTAAACCAAACCATTCTGCTCCAGTGAGGCACACTGGGAGGCACACTATGCTACGCTACACTAGCTTTTTGCAATATGGTTAGTGATGCCATTACCAGACCAATACAGTATCTTCCAGTGACTTATAGGCTGGCGTTTGGGGCCACTTTGGTTTTGCTGTGAATTATGAGAATAAAGGCAAGGAAGTGGTGATTAAAAAACAATGGTACACAGCGAGCTAAAGAATGAGCTGCTGCGCTGTGTTTATATGATTGTGGCATTTAACAGAGATGTTTATTTATGTATTTATTACACTGAAAAAGCTGAGAGAGTTCATGAGATGAAGCAAACTCGCCGCTGACACACAGTGGGCATAAGAAACTACGCTGATACATGTGCTCTGATGTTCATATTAACGTAGGATTTATATAGTTGGGCAAAGAAATGGTGAAAAACAATTAACTGGTCTAACTCCACAATTCAGTACCACACAGTTCTCAGTCTTTTCACGTTTTCAAGAAGTATTTTCTAACAGGTTTAATGTGTTAACAAAAAAAGATGACTGATATTTTAATGAGCCCATTTCAGCCAGACAGAAATTCCTGCTTTGTACAAAAAAACCAAATAAATTATTTTAGTTTTTGTACATTCAAAATTTTAAAAATCAGAGAACTGTTTTGCTGCATTGAAAACCTTCTGAACCATGACACCACTGTATCAAACCAAACCATGAATTCTGTGAACCGTTACACCCCTATACAATACTAAGGTTTACTTGTAAAAATGCATGTGTTTGTGAAGTACTGAGCGTACAGCTGGATAAATGAGACCTGGATTATACTGCACACGTCGTGTTTTCTGTGGAGGCATTCAAGAAAAACAAAGTTTTCTTCACAAATTCAAAGTAACACAGCCTGAATGGTTATTTTGTGGGTGAAGTATTTCTTTAAAGGATATTGTGAGTTTTGTTTGGTTTAGACATGAGAAGTCATGTTACAGTTATCTTGGTCAGACAATACTGCAATATGTGATATTATCCAGATAATCAGCTAAACATGCTTAAAACTCCTAAAATGGCACTACATAATAAAATTTTACTTACATTTTGATAAACTTTTTTTGCCACTACAGATACGACATCTCTTTTTAGTGAAGATCCATTTTAGTAAAAAACAATCTGAAGAAGCAAAGTTTGTGTTACTATTTAAAATGGCAACATATCTTTCGATATAAAATATGCCAATGCTTGATTAAGATCTTTTGCGTTGCATTGGTGCGTATGCAGCCTGTTTTTGAAGAGTCTCTTTTATTGTGGGTTGCCCAGCAGTCTCTCTGGGTGCAGCTGGACAAATATTCACAACTATTCCAACAATCATCTTATTGTGAGTGTTTCTTAGAGTTGTTACCAGTCTGTGAAATGCCTCCAATACTGCCTAAAATGCTGGAGTACGTTTGTCTATGCACCAATCCAATGCCATGTCATTTATTGATGAAGTTTAAATTAGTCTTACACCTGAATAAAACAACCATTTTTCTGAAAATGTTGCAAAGCAGTGAAGAAGAATCAATTTCCAGTAAACAGTGTAACATTAGCTGTTAGCAACATGTCAGGTTTAATCTGAGCGAAGTTCAGGTATCAAAATCAGTATCAGGAAGGAAAAAATGGTATTGGAGCATCTCTAGTGTTTCTATTTTGATCCAAAATAAAGTCATTTATTGTCCCATCCCTAACTGGGATTTTTTATTTAACTAGACAGAGTGTTGTTTATCAGTCGACAGTCAAGTCTTAGATGTTGGAGGTTCCTGTGGCACATAAATACAGTACAACACAACACGCGTAAGCAAAGTACCGAGCAGCTTGCACTGGACTTTTTCAAGCAGATAAAAGGAAACCTGAGGCAATCAGACAAAGACTAGCATACGGCAAAACAACCCAAGAGGCTGCATTAGCGTGACCTTGTTGCTATGGGAAACAGGTAAACAAAATAATTTGAAGACAGCATGTCCACTTAAGGCTCATTAAATACCAGCATTGTGCACGGTGGTTTATAAAAAGCCTTACAAAAAAATGAGCCATCAGTGACATTACCAGCAGTTGTCATTGAAAGGGAGCCTGCCTTTTTTGTCTGTGTGAGAGCTGCTTACCTTGTGTGCACATCATGAACCATTAACAGATAATAGATGTTAACAGACCAGAGGCCATCAATATCCATGAAGATGAAGGAGGGAGCAACTTTAAAATGGAACATTTATAATTTCTTTGACTAAAAGCATTTATAACTCTTTTTTTTTGGCAAAGAGAACTTTACAACTGCTTAATACTGATGGTGTTTAGGGGCTATTTTTGTCATGACAAAGGCCAGTTTATACTTCATAACAATTTTGCAGCACTGTTAGCGAAGGAGCCTCATTGCGTTACTCTGTAGAACATTGCTTCAGGGAATGTCGTAAGGCCACTGTCAAACAGACGCGGTAGCACAACAAAACAACTGCTGCACAGCCACATAGTTCAGGTACAGAATATTAAACACAAAATAGTGAGTCCAGTTTGAAGGCTTATCAAACTTTAAAATATCACACAGCTCCTAATATTGCTTCAAGGCAGAATTGTACAACTCAAGAAAGTGAATCACGGCAAGGTGCTCTGTGCCTGCACATGCAGTACTTTGTCAGGTTGTGAAGCCAAAGCAGCAAACACAGCGATATTGCTTGAACATTGCTGTAAAAGACTGCAGGTAGACGAAAGAGATGATTCATCCTTCTGCAGCTGGGAGTGCTCCGGCCAATTTATGTAAATATCATATTTGCTGCTGCTTATTCTTTTCTTAAAATATATTCTACTGTCATTAAAGCAGGCATGAAACCACATTGTAAAGCTTGTTTAGTGCAAATGGCCCCTTAAAGAAAAGCTTTGCTCAAGGAGTATCGTTGTAAGAGAAGACAGCCAGGTTAAATGGACCACCAGCAAGCTGTGAAACAGATGGTATCCCACTTGACTGCTGTTGTCTATAATCTAGAATCTAATAGCACCTGTTACACATGACAGGCGGACAAAGAAAAAAAAGGTGAGGTTGCCAACCAGCAGCATGCACAAACTGAAAGGTTACAAACCACGTCATCTCAGTTGTAATCAGGCTCCGAAGATTGGTTGCTTGTTGCATCACTTCTCTGCTTTCCTTTTTTCCACATAAGTTATCCAATAAAGTGGAAAGTTCAACAAATATTGTTTGAAAGAAATATTAGGGAACCGGGGACAATAAATATTTTTTTAAAGGATGTTTTAAAATGCGCAGTT